TCCACTTCTGGAACAATGGCCCAGACCAACTGGAGCTCCAAGGTCCTTCACACACACACACACACACACGCATGCACACACACACACGCACACACGCACGCACACACACACTCAAACACACACACTCACAAACTCAAATAGACACACTCATTCACACAAACACACACATTCACACACACATACACTCACAAACTCAAACAGACACACACACTCACAAACACACACACACACACACACACACACACACACACACACACACACACACACACACAAGCGTTTGTAACTTCATGTCAGTTGTAATCTGTAAGCGCTGTGTTCAGGTGGTGCTGTTCCACGAGGGATTGACGTCTCTGATCGCTCACATCCGTGTGGGAAACATGCAGGTCGCGCTGGAGGCCAAGAGCACCGTCCTGCCCGCCATCAGTACTGTATCTGTGTGTGTGTGTGTGTCTGTGAATGTGTGTTAGTGTGAGTGTGTGTGAGAGAGAGAGTGTGTGAGTAAGTGTGTGTGTGTTTCTTTCGATTTTTAAATCGTTCTTCACACTAAGAAATATTCACACTAAAATGATTCTTTGAAGAACTGACCTCTGAAAGGTTCTTTGGGGAACCAGAGATGTTTCTTGTAAACGCCTGGCAGAGCCTTTAATGTTCATGTAGAGCCTGATCTCTGATGTGTGTGTGTGTTTCAGTGTGTGGTGACGGTGTGTGTGAGGAAGAGGAGAGCTGCTCGACATGTCCCGCTGACTGTGGAGACTGTCCTCTGAGTTCTGCTGTACGAGCTTCCATCGGCCTCACCGTCACCTTCATCATCATCAGCTTCGTCACCAGTGCCATGGTGTGTGTGCGCACACACATAAAGAGCATAGAATACATGCAGAGAAACTGGACAAAGATTTGACACAAAGTTTGACACTGAAAATATTCAGTTCAATTCAAGTCAGTCTATCTATCTATCCATATATCTCATAGCCACGTAGCAACCACCCAGAGTACCCTAACAACCGCAGAGTAACACCCTAGTAACCACCCCGAGTACCATAGAAACCACATAGCAAACCCCTAGCAACCACCCAGAATACCCTAGCAACCACCAGGAGTACCATAGCAACCACATAGCGACACCCTAGCAACCACCCCAAGTATTTTAGAAGCGGCATAGCAGCACCCTAGCAACCACCCAGAGAACCCTAACAACTGCAGAGCAACACCCTAGCAACTACACAGAATACCCTAGCAATCGCATAGCAACCACCACGAGTACCATAGCAACGACATAGCGACACCCTAGCAATCACCCCAAGTACTTTAGAATAGGGATGGCTCGATACCACAATTTGGGCTTCGGTACGATACCAGAACCTAATACCTCGGTATCGATACTAAATCGATACCACAGGTAAAAAAAAAAAAAAAACAGTCTCAAAATTTAAGTGACACTTAAAAAACACTGCTTGAAATTCTCCACTACCAAATGTGCAAAGAAAATGTATCAAATTGTAAAAAAAAGAAGAAAAAAAATCAGTCAGGGAACATACAGTATGTTAAATTTTGATTTTGAAAAAAAAAAAAAAAACTGAAATTATACAATTAAAATAGGTTAATATCTATAATAATAGATTTACATATAATAACAATGATAGAATAATGAAATGACATGTAAACCATTAGTTGTCATGCATCAACAAATATTTATCAACATTTATTGCATTTATTCATCTTGGTTTGGTTACTGTTTGGGTTCATATTAGTTTAATGCATTGCATAAAGTAATGTTAAAATGCTAAAAACATGTATTAGTAAATTTAATTTTCTAGGTCATTTAATTACTGATTGATATAGATTAATAAATGCTATATTACTGTTAGGTCAGGTTACCTAATGAATGTTGACAAATGTAGCTTAATTGTAATATTAGTAATATTCATATTACTACTGTTACTCTCTCCCTCTCTCGGCTTATTGCTCTAGGGGTCGCCACAGCGGCACTAATATGCCATTCATTTTACTATCACTAATACTAAAATTCATATTATTCACATTTTTATTCTTTATTCATTCAAATTAAATTAATATATGTTTGTTTGAAAGTGCAAAAATGATGAGACCTAAACTTAATTGGTTCTAGCGTGTCATGCAAGCAGATTTCAGCTTTCGTGTTTACCGTCTCATATATAATTGATAAGCTCTTATGTATGTGCGCTGTTCAATAAAAGTCTAAATTAAATCAGTTGAATGATGGACTAACCTGTCGATCTCTGAACTCTTTGAACAAGTCAAGATGAGCAACTGATAAGTGCTTCGGCAGATTTGATGTGTTGCCTCCCCGTTTGCAGAGTGGTGAATTGAGATCTGTTTCTTTACTTTTCTCATTACTTTTGTTGGCAAAGTAATGCCTTATTTCACTCATACTGCTCTCTCTATTTATTAATTTCGGGCGTGTAGAAATTCGAATGAGCTTCGTTTGATCCATCGTGTTCCTCTGTTGTCACCGTTTGCCGGTTTCGCGTGACCCGCGTCAGTTTAGGTAGCGCACTGCCGCCTAGCGGTGAACTTCGAAACAGCAGCGCATCAAATACCGAATTGAACAAAATGATGATATTGTACCGTTTGAAATATAATATATACCGGTATTTTTGCAGTACCGGTATACCGCGCATTCCTACTTTAGAAACAGCATAGCAACACCCTAGCAACCACCCAGAGTACCCTAGCAACCGCATAGCAACACCCAAGTAATCGGCAATCGTTTTTTTTTTTTCCATTTATTTTGGCCGATCTCTATGCTGACTTGCACATAAACTGCATTGCAATCATTTCCCCAAATACCATTTGTGTGGAAATATTATGAAGTCTGTAAACTGGACCTTGACGCAGGCAGTGGAACACATACTGTAGCACACATTCAGTCCACCTGCTGCTGCTGTTTTGTGCAGGTGTGTGTTATGTAGTGAATGCAGTCGTTGCCTCTCATTTCAAATGGCTACAGATATTTTTTAAGGCCAGTTTTCCTGTTTTAGAGCAAACTAACAACAAATAAATTTGCTTAAACAAATAAAGATTCGGCAACCGGTATCAGAATTGGCTGATTTGCTTGTAAAAAAAATTAATCTGAAAAATCATGATCAGTGCATCACTTTCAAGACTTGAATTTTCTCATAATATATATTGCATACACCCACACATTCACAATTTTATATGCGGCTTTGTCTGGTTTGAAACATTTACTGCTAGTATGATGATGATGATTTGTGTGTGTGTGCAGTGGTTTAAATATCAGAAACAGAAACTCTTGTGGGATGAGAGCTGGATCATCGACTTCAATCACATTAAACAAGGTGAGCGAGAATCCAAGTGTGTGTGTGTCTGTAAATGTGTGAGTGCGTCTGTAAATGTGTGCGAGTTTGTGTGTCTGTCTGTGCATATGTTTAAGTGTGTGTGGGTTTGTGTGCATGTGTTTGTTTCAGTATATAATATGTATGTGTGTGTGTGTGTTCAGATTACGTTGCCCGGGCGACCATGGGCAGCATCATGAGCGTCCCGGCGGCGAACAGCGACTCCAACGCGAGCTGTGTGACGGGCCTGAGCTCCTTCACCGGCGTCCCCACGACACGCAAACAGCTCTACACACACACCGGCATCTAGTGAGTTCATACACACACATACCGTATGCAAGTTTGGGCTCGGTAAGATTTTTAAAGTTTTTGAAATAGTCTCTTCTGCTCACCAAGGCTGCATTTATTTGACCAAAAATACAGTAAAACAGCGGTTTTCATATATGTGAACATATAGTAAAATGTAATTTATTCCTGTGATCAAAGCTGAATGCTGCTTCATATTTGTGTGGAAATTGTGATAAATTTTATTTTTTATGATTCTTTGATGAATAGAAAGTTAAAAAGAACAGCATCTATTTGAAACAGAATGTTTTGTAGCATTTAACATGTAGCATGTAGCACATTTGACCAATTTTATGCGTCCTTACTGAATAAGTGAAACTTTTGAAATATATGTTATTAATTCTGTTCATCTTTTCAGTGATGGACGAACCGTTGCCATCAAGAAAATAAAAACAAAAACATTTTCTCTCTCGAAGACGATTCGCCAAGAGGTGAAGCAAGTCAGGTGAGAATAACCCAAACACGACATCATCATTATCGTCCTCCTCGTCATGGTTATCAGTGTGTTCCAGGTGTGTGTGTGTTTGTCTTCAGGGAACTGGACCATCCGAACCTCTGTAAGTTCTTTGGAGGTTGTGTGGAGCTTCCCAACATCGTCATAGTAACAGAGTATTGCCCTAAAGGAAGCCTGAACGACGTCCTGCTGAACGACGAGATTCCTTTAAACTGGGGCTTCAGGTACGTACACACACACACACACACACACACACACACACACACACACACACACACACACACACACACACACACACACAGACAGACAGACACACAGACACACAGACACACACACACACACACAGACACATACACTTACTCACTCACACAAAACAACACATACATAAAATAACAAATGTCAGTGTGTGTGTGTGTTTGCAGGTTCTCCTTTGCGACAGACATCGCTCGTGGGATGTCGTACCTGCATCAGTTTAAGATCTGCCACGGGCGGCTGAAATCAGCCAACTGCGTGATTGACGACCGCTGGGTCTGTAAGATCACAGGTACGGCGCGTGCGTCTCTATCATACTGCTCGAACTCACCTGTGCTGTCTGTAACTCACCTGTGCATAACACACCTTTGCTGTCTGTAACTCACCTGTGCTTTGCCGTCTGTAACTCACCCGTGCTGTCTGTAACTCGCCTGTGCCATCTGTAACTCACCTGTGCTGTCTGTAACTCGCCTGTGCTGTGCCGTCTGTAACTCACCTGTGCCGTCTGGAACTCACCTGTGCTTTGCCGTCTGTAACTCACCTTTGCTGTCTCTATCTCACCTGTGCCGTCTGTAACTCATCTTTGCCGTCTGTAACTCACCTATGCTGTCTCTATCTCACCTGTGCTGTCTGTAACTCACCTTTGCTGTCTGTAACTCACCTGTGCTGTCTCTATCTCACCTGTGCCGTCTGTAACTCACCTGTGCTTTGCCGTCTGTAACACACCTGTGCTTTGAAGTCTGTAACTCACCTGTGCTTTGCCATCTGTAACTCACCTGTGCATAACACACCTTTGCTGTCTGTAACTCACCTGTGCATAACACACCTTTGCTGTCTGTAACTCACCTGTGCTTTGCCGTCTGTAACTCACCCGTGCTGTCTGTAACTCGCCTGTGCCATCTGTAACTCACCTGTGCTGTCTGTAACTCGCCTGTGCTGTGCCGTCTGTAACTCACCTGTGCCGTCTGTAACTCACCTGTGCTTTGCAGTCTGTAACTCACCTTTGCTGTCTGTAACTCGCCTGTGCTGTCTGCAACTCACCTGTGCTGTCTGTAACACACCTGTGCTGTCTGCAACTCACCTGTGCTGTCTGCAACTCACCTGTGCTGTCTGCAACTCACCTGTGCTGTCTGTAACCTGTAACTCACCTGTGCTGTCTGTAACTCACCTGTGCTGTCTGCAACTCACCTGTGCTGTCTGTAACACACCTGTGCTGTCTGTAACTCACCTGTGCTGTCTGCAACTGACCTGTGCTGTCTGTAACTCACCTGTGCTTTGCCGTCTGTAACTCACCTTTGCTGTCTGCAACTCACCTGTGCTGTCTGTAACTCACCTGTGCTTTGCCGTCTGTAACTCACCCGTGCTGTCTGTAACTCGCCTGTGCCATCTGTAACTCACCTGTGCTGTCTGTAACTCGCCTGTGCTGTGCCGTCTGTAACTCACCTGTGCCGTCTGTAACTCACCTGTGCTTTGCCGTCTGTAACTCACCTTTGCTGTCTGTAACTCGCCTGTGCTGTCTGCAACTCACCTGTGCTGTCTGTAACACACCTGTGCTGTCTGTAACTCACCTGTGCTGTCTGCAACTCACCTGTGCTGTCTGTAACTCACCTGTGCTGTCTGTAACTCACCTGTGCTGTCTGCAACTCACCTGTGCTGTCTGCAACTCACCTGTGCTGTCTGCAACTCACCTGTGCTGTCTGTAACCTGTAACTCACCTGTGCTGTCTGTAACTCACCTGTGCTGTCTGCAACTCACCTGTGGTGTCTGTAACACACCTGTGCTGTCTGTAACTCACCTGTGCTGTCTGCAACTCACCTGTGCTGTCTGTAACTCACCTGTGCTTTGCCGTCTGTAACTCACCTTTGCTGTCTGCAACTCACCTGTGCTGTCTGTAACTCACCTGTGCTTTGCCGTCTGTAACTCACCTGTGATCTCTGTAACTCACCTGTGCTTTGCCATCTGTAACTCACCTGTGCTTTGCCATCTGTAACTCACCTGTGCTGTCTGTAACTCACCTTTGCCGTCTGTAACTCACCTGTGATCTCTGTAACTCACCTGTGCTTTACCATCTGTAACTCACCTGTGCTTTGCCATCTGTAACTCACCTGTGCTTTGCCATCTGTAACTCACCTGTGCTTTGCCGTCTGTAACTCACCTGTGCTTTGCCGTCTGTAACTCACCTGTGCTTTCCCGTCTGTAACTCACCTGTGCTTTCCCGTCTGTAACTCACCTGTGCTGTCTGTAACTCACCTGTGCTGTCTGTAACTCAACTGTGCTGTGCCGTCTGTAACTCACCTGTGCCGTCTGTAACACACCTGTGCCGTCTGTAACTCACCTGTGCTGTCTGTAACTCACCTGTGCTGTCTGTAACTCGCCTGTGCTGTGCCGTCTGTAACTCACCTGTGCTGTCTCTATCTCACCTGTGCATAACACACCTGTGCTGTCTGTAACTCACCTGTGCTGTCTGTAACTCAACTGTGCTGTGCCGTCTGTAACACACCTGTGCCGTCTGTAACTCACCTGTGCTGTCTGTAACTCACCTGTGCTGTCTGTAACTCACCTGTGCTTTGCCGTCTGTAACTCACCTGTGCTGTCTCTATCTCACCTGTGCATAACACACCTTTGCTGTCTGTAACTCACCTTTGCCGTCTGTAACTCACCTGTGACCTCTGTAACTCACCTGTGCCGTCTGTAACTCACCTGTGCCGTCTGTAACTCACCTGTGCCGTCTGTAACTCACCTGAGCTGTCTGTAACTCACCTGTGCTGTCTGTAACTCACCTGTGCTGTCTGTAACCGTCTGTAACACACCTGTGCTGTCTGTAACACACCTGTGCTGTCTGTAACACACCTGTGCTGTCTGTAACTCACCTGTGCTGTCTGTAACACACCTGTGCTGTCTGTAACTCACCTGTGCTGTGCTGTCTGCAACTCACCTGTGCTGTCTGTAACACACCTGTGCTGTCTGTAACTCACCTGTGCTGTCTGTAACTCACCTGTGCTGTCTGTAACTCACCTGTGCTGTCTGTAACACACCTGTGCTGTCTGTAACTCACCTGTGCTGTCTGCAACTCACCTGTGCTGTCTGTAACCTGTAACTCACCTGTGCTTTGCCGTCTGTAACTCACCTTTGCTGTCTGCAACTCACCTGTGCTGTCTGTAACTCACCTGTGCTTTGCCGTCTGTAACTCACCTGTGATCTCTGTAACTCACCTGTGCTTTGCCATCTGTAACTCACCTGTGCTTTGCCATCTGTAACTCACCTGTGCTGTCTGTAACTCACCTTTGCCGTCTGTAACTCACCTGTGATCTCTGTAACTCACCTGTGCTTTACCATCTGTAACTCACCTGTGCTTTGCCATCTGTAACTCACCTGTGCTTTGCCATCTGTAACTCACCTGTGCTTTGCCGTCTGTAACTCACCTGTGCTTTGCCGTCTGTAACTCACCTGTGCTTTCCCGTCTGTAACTCACCTGTGCTTTCCCGTCTGTAACTCACCTGTGCTGTCTGTAACTCACCTGTGCTGTCTGTAACTCAACTGTGCTGTGCCGTCTGTAACTCACCTGTGCCGTCTGTAACACACCTGTGCCGTCTGTAACTCACCTGTGCTGTCTGTAACTCACCTGTGCTGTCTGTAACTCGCCTGTGCTGTGCCGTCTGTAACTCACCTGTGCTGTCTCTATCTCACCTGTGCATAACACACCTGTGCTGTCTGTAACTCACCTGTGCTGTCTGTAACTCAACTGTGCTGTGCCGTCTGTAACTCACCTGTGCCGTCTGTAACACACCTGTGCCGTCTGTAACTCACCTGTGCTGTCTGTAACTCACCTGTGCTGTCTGTAACTCACCTGTGCTTTGCCGTCTGTAACTCACCTGTGCTGTCTCTATCTCACCTGTGCATAACACACCTTTGCTGTCTGTAACTCACCTTTGCCGTCTGTAACTCACCTGTGACCTCTGTAACTCACCTGTGCCGTCTGTAACTCACCTGTGCCGTCTGTAACTCACCTGTGCCGTCTGTAACTCACCTGTGCTGTCTGTAACTCACCTGTGCTGTCTGTAACTCACCTGTGCTGTCTGTAACCGTCTGTAACACACCTGTGCTGTCTGTAACACACCTGTGCTGTCTGCAACACACCTGTGCTGTCTGTAACTCACCTGTGCTGTCTGTAACACACCTGTGCTGTCTGTAACTCACCTGTGCTGTGCTGTCTGCAACTCACCTGTGCTGTCTGTAACACACCTGTGCTGTCTGTAACTCACCTGTGCTGTCTGTAACTCACCTGTGCTGTCTGTAACTCACCTGTGCTGTCTGTAACACACCTGTGCTGTCTGTAACTCACCTGTGCTGTCTGCAACTCACCTGTGCTGTCTGTAACCTGTAACTCACCTGTGCTTTGCCGTCTGTAACTCACCTTTGCTGTCTGCAACTCACCTGTGCTGTCTGTAACTCACCTGTGCTTTGCCGTCTGTAACTCACCTGTGATCTCTGTAACTCACCTGTGCTTTGCCATCTGTAACTCACCTGTGCTTTGCCATCTGTAACTCACCTGTGCTGTCTGTAACTCACCTTTGCCGTCTGTAACTCACCTGTGATCTCTGTAACTCACCTGTGCTTTGCCATCTGTAACTCACCTGTGCCGTCTGTAACTCACCTGTGCCGTCTGTAACTCACCTGTGCCGTCTGTAACTCACCTGTGCTGTCTGTAACTCACCTGTGCCGTCTGTAACTCACCTGTGCCGTCTGTAACTCACCTGTGCTGTCTGTAACACACCTGTGCTGTCTGTAACTCACCTGTGCTGTCTGTAACACACCTGTGCTGTCTGTAACTCACCTGTGCTGTGCTGTCTGTAACTCACCTGTGCTGTCTGTAACACACCTGTGCTGTCTGTAACTCACCTGTGCTGTCTGTAACTCACCTGTGCTGTCTGTAACCGTCTGTAACACACCTGTGCTGTCTGTAACACACCTGTGCTGTCTGTAACTCACCTGTGCTGTCTGTAACACACCTGTGCTGTCTGTAACTCACCTGTGCTGTGCTGTCTGTAACTCAGCACAGCACAGCTGTGATCACCTGTGATCTCTGTAACACACCTGTGCTGTCTGTAACTCACCTGTGCTGTCTGTAACACACCTGTGCTGTCTTTAACTCACCTGCTGTGCTGTCTGTAACTCACCTGCTGTGCTGTCTGTAACTCACCTGTGCTGTCTGTAACACACCTGTGCCGTCTGTAACTCACCTGTGCTGTCTGTAACTCACCTGTGCCGTCTGTAACTCACCTGTGCTGTCTGTAACTCACCTGTGCTGTCTGTAACACACCTGTGCTGTCTGTAACTCACCTGTGCTGTCTGTAACACACCTGTGCTGTCTGTAACTCACCTGTGCTGTGCTGTCTGTAACTCACCTGTGCTGTCTGTAACACACCTGTGCTGTCTGTAACTCACCTGTGCTGTCTGTAACTCACCTGTGCTGTCTGTAACCGTCTGTAACACACCTGTGCTGTCTGTAACTCACCTGTGCTGTCTGTAACTCACCTGTGCTGTCTGTAACTCACCTGTGCTGTCTGTAACACACCTGTGCTGTCTGTAACTCACCTGTGCTGTCTGTAACTCACCTGTGCTGTCTGTAACTCACCTGTGCTGTCTGCAACTCACCTGTGCTGTCTGCAACTCACCTGTGATCTCTGTAACTCACCTGTGCTTTGCCATCTGTAACTCACCTGTGCCGTCTGTAACTCACCTGTGCTGTCTGTAACTCACCTGTGCCGTCTGTAACTCACCTGTGCTGTCTGTAACACACCTGTGCTGTCTGTAACTCAGCTGTGCTGTCTGTAACTCACCTGTGCTGTGCTGTCTGTAACTCACCTGTGCTGTCTGTAACACACCTGTGCTGTCTGTAACTCACCTGTGCTGTCTGTAACTCACCTGTGCTGTCTGTAACCGTCTGTAACACACCTGTGCTGTCTGTAACACACCTGTGCTGTCTGTAACTCACCTGTGCCGTCTGTAACTCACCTGTGCTGTCTGTAACCTGTAACTCACCTGTGCTGTCTGCAACTCACCTGTGCTGTCTGTAACTCACCTGTGCTGTCTGCAACTCACCTGTGCTGTCTGTAACACACCTGTGCTGTCTGTAACTCACCTGTGCTGTCTGTAACTCACCTGTGCTGTCTGTAACACACCTGTGCTGTCTGTAACTCACCTGTGCTGTCTGTAACACACCTGTGCTGTCTGTAACTCACCTGTGCCGTCTGTAACTCACCTGTGCTGTCTGTAACCTGTAACTCACCTGTGCTGTCTGCAACTCACCTGTGCTGTCTGTAACTCACCTGTGCTGTCTGCAACTCACCTGTGCTGTCTGTAACACACCTGTGCTGTCTGTAACACACCTGTGCTGTCTGTAACTCACCTGTGCTGTCTGTAACTCACCTGTGCTGTCTGTAACACACCTGTGCTGTCTGTAACTCACCTGTGCTGTCTGTAACTCACCTGTGCTGTCTGTAACTCACCTGCTGTGCTGTCTGTAACTCACCTGTGCTGTCTGTAACACACCTGTGCTGTCTGTAACTCACCTGTGCTGTCTGTAACTCACCTGTGCCGTCTGTAACTCACTGTAACTCACCAGTGCTGTCTGTAACTCACCTGTGCCGTCTGTAACTCACCTGTGCTGTCTGTAACTCGCTTGTGCTGTCTGTAACTCGCTTGTGCTGTCTGTAACTCACCTGTGCTGTCTGTAACTCGCTTGTGCTGTCTGTAACTCACCTGTGCTTTGAGCAGATTACTGTCTGTGGGTTTTCCGGCGCGAGGACTGCGCTGAGCCACTCAGCACGTACCAGCAGAGACTGAAGGAGGTTTACACTCCACCTGAAGCCCAGAGCGGCAGCCAGGAGCCCACGCTGGCCGGAGACGTGTTCAGGTGCACACACTAACACACATCCTTCAAACTCACACACACAGTATCATAACAGATTTTCATTTTTATTTATTTATTTGCAGCTATTCAATAATCTTATTGGAGATTGCGACCCGGAATGATCCAGTGCCGGTGAGCATGTGTGTGTAAACGTCTGTCATGATTATTGACTGATCGTCTGATCCCAACTATTGACAAATAACGTGCGTCTGTGTGTGTGTCAGGTGGATGACGGCTCTCTGGAGTGTGGCTGGTGTCCTCCGCTGCCGGAGCTGATTTCGGGGAAAGCCGACAGCACTTGCCCCTGCCCTGCTGAATACGCTGAGGTGTGTGTGGACTTGTACGAGTCTCATGAAAACATTCACCCCAAAACAAAAGAAAAAATATATTACTTCAAGAAAATGAAGCCTGTTTTTGGGACTTACGTTTTTTTAAACAACTTCTGGAACAAGAACAAATGTGGGCGGGGCTTAAATTTTGTCTCTTGGGAATTGATTGGATGGTTGTGGTTTGCTATTGGTGGATCTCATGTGAGTGACAGTTTGCCCCGCCCTCATCATCAGAGAAGAGATGTCACTGTTATTCTAATTCAAAATTACCAGGAACATGAATTTAACACAATAATAATGTGCACCGATAAATCACACACTGGCAATTAAAAAGCAATTAATACATGAAAATTCTTATGTATAGCCTTTTTAAAAATCAAGCGTATGTAAACTATGTTAACTTATTTTACTCTCTCTCTCCGTTTCTCCTCCTTTCATGCTATCAGCTGATTCGTCGATGCCGTGCTCATAACTCCGCCCACCGGCCCACCTTTGAGCAGATCCGCAAGTTTGTCAACAAAATCAACCCACATAAAGTCAGTCCTGTCGACATGATGATGGAGCTGGTCAGTACAACACACACACACACACACACACACACACACACACACACACACACACACACACACACACACACACACACACACACACACGCACGCACACACGCACGCACGCGCACACACAAACATAAACACAGGCCGACACACATATACACTCTCTTTCACACTTACACACACACACACACACACACACGCACGCACGCACGCACGCACGCACACACAAACATAAACACACATAACCTTTACAGAAACCTGTGCAAATTATTTTTCAAACCTAATATTACCTAAGTGTAAAATGTCATTATTAGTCATTCGTCAATATATTTTACTATAAGTGAGTACATTTGGCCCTCACAAGTAGAGCTAAACGTACATAAAATGTCTTTACAATAATAACAAACCCGTGTGTGTGTGTGTAGATGGAAAAGTACAGTAAACATTTGGAGGTTCTGGTTGGTGAACGAACGCAAGATCTGATGCTGGAGAAACAGAAGACCGACAGACTGCTTTACAGTAAACTAACACTAATGTTACTAATGATGTGTGTCACGTGAGCGTCAGTGTGTTTGAGTTTTACAGCAGGTGTGTGTGTGTGTGTGTGTGTGTGTGTGTGTGTGTGTGTGTGTGTTTCAGGTATGCTGCCAAAACAAGTGGCTGATGACCTGCGACAGGGAAAACCGATGCAAGCCCAGAGTTACGTCAGCGCCACCGTGTTCTTCAGGTACACACACACACACACACTCACTCTCACACACACACACACGTGCTTCATGAAAACTGCTTGTCTTATTTCTGCAACAAACTTTAACATTTCACTGCTTTAGATCACAGATATCTGTAACCGCTCACAGATATATTTATAAACAGGGTTTTATTGTGTGTTTATCTACAGTTCGGTGTTTGATTTTTTGGCAACACTTCACAATAAGCTTATTAACTACCAATGAGCAATACATGTGTTACAGCATTTATTAATCGTTCTGTTCGATTTCTGTACTCCCCTTATGGACCGGGTCAAATTGACCCTAATTGGATTCAATCACACTAAGACTTAGATACAAACTGTAAACTTTTAATATCAACATTTGTCAAACATTACAAAAACATCATATCTGAAAATATGATTTATGAAAATGTTTTTAAACCATTTTTAAAAACAGTTTTGTTTTGACAAAATTGGAAAATAAACAGTATACTGACTTTTTTTTTTTTTTTTTTGTACTTTTTATGCTTTGAACATCGCAACTGAACAAAAAAAAAGTGCTGTATAATGAAATTTTTTCATTTTCCTAAGTTAACTTTCCCTAGTTTCCTAAGACCCATTTTCCTAGTTTCATTATTCACCTACAGGAAAGTGAGAAACCAAACATAACAAAAACATACATCAAATAAATGTTTTTTATTTATTTTTTGGCTCTGTGAAGCTGCCTTTGAAAATCCTACATAAAAGTTTTGGTTAAAAGCTAGGTATTTTAGATATTTTGAATATTGAAATGAGAGCTTATTTTACTATCTGTGTCTGACAAAGATTTTCATCTGTAATTTGCAAATAATTCTAAACACTGTAATTTTATCTTTTTCAAATAAGTTTGGTTAGGGTTAGAGCACTTTTAGATGCACTTGCACGTTAGAACTGGAGTTGAAGTGCCCTGACATACAGAAAATAAATGTTTTTATTTTGTGTCTGTACAGTTGCTTTTGATTGGCTGTCTATGAGGGTCAAATTGACCCGTGAACATCACGAACGTAACAGTAATTTTGTTTGTATATGTCAAAACACATCAGCATGTTGAAACTTTGCATGCATGTTCATCATGATAAATGAGAAAAAGTCACAAAATATCAAGAAAAAAAAACAAAGGTTAACCAGTATTTCCAACAACTAGAAAATCGAAACGGGTCAAATTGACCCGCAACATAACACAAGGGTTATTAAAAATACTGCTCGTTGTTGTTTGCTACTAATACATGAACTCATGTTAACTAATAGGATCTTATTGTAAAGTGCAACCAATTCTTTGAATCCACCTTGACTAACTCAAACTCTGATTGTGCTGTTTTGTGTCTTCCCTCGGCTTTCTCAGTGATATTGTGGGGTTCACTCAGTTGTCCAGCACTAGCACTCCTTACCAGGTGGTCGACTTCCTCAACAAACTCTACACCACTTTTGACGAGATCATCGACAACTATGATGTTTATAAAGTGGAAACCATCGGCGATGCATGTATGTCATCAGCCAATCATAATCACTGACAAGCCTTAGAGGAGCCGCTCGTTAATAAAACTGATCATTTCAAATAGAGGTTCAGAATGAAGGTTGAAAATAATAGTTATTCTGCAAATATGCACTACCGTTCAAAAGTTTGGGGTCAATACGATTAAAAAAAAAAATAATAATAATACTTTTCTTCAGAAAGGACGCATTAAATTGATCAAAAGTGACACTAAAGACATTTATAATAATGCAAAATATTTATTTTTTAATTAAATGCTTTTCTCTTAAACTTGCAAAGAATCCTGAAAAAAATTAATCACGGTTTGCACAAAAATATGAAGCAGCAAAACTGTTTTCAACTGTGATAATAATCATAAATGTTTCTTGAGCATCAGATCCTCATATTAGAGTGATTTCTGGAGGATCATGTGACACTGAAGACTGGAGTAATGATGCTGAAAATTCAGCTTTGATCACAGGAATAAATTACACTTTACTATATATTCACATAGAAAACAGCTGATTTACACTGAAATAATATTTCACAATATTACTGGGTTTGTTTTGTATTTTTAATCAAATAAATGCAGCCTTGGTGAGCAGAAGAGACTTATTTTAAAAACATTAAAAATCTTACCGACCCCAAAAAAAAAAACTGTTTAGCTTATAACGCTAGTATATGGGGCATCGAGTAAGTAAAAATAAATCGCTAGTTAATGCCACTAACAAGGCTCAAAATAGCCCCACACTAGCAAGGTAGCATAATGAGGGTCCCAACCTGCAAACCCAAGCATTGAGAACTTTGTAAGTGTACAGACAGTTTAATAAGAAGATACTTTATAAAGACAATACACTTTGGCAGGAGCCATCTTTGGAAAACAGTCTAGACCAGTCGAACCATGAACGCTGTGCTAAGTGAGTGGTTCGACTGGTCGAGACTGTTTTCCAAAGATGGCTCCTGTATGCCCCATATACTAGCGTTATAAGCTAAACAGTTTTTAGAGATAAAACTATTATGAAATGATTATCATGAAAACAAATCCCAGAGAACGGTCGACTCGGTACCAATGTGATATTACACCCTAGCTTCATTTAGCGCCGGAATTCGCCTTTGGCTAAGCCCCGCCCCCCTTAGTTACTGTTGCTACGTCCGACAAACAAACTTCATCTGGGCTCTGGTATCAACATGGCGTATGCTGTGACAGCTCTTCCGGCTGAAATTTTATCAAACTTTTATAAAGCAGCAAATAAAGTGTCCGATAGAAGTAGGCAAAAGCGGCTGCAATATACGTTTGAAGGCTATATTCACGACATACAGGTGAAACGCAAGGAACAACAAGGCATCCAAATAGAGGCAAAAGCATAAGTTACCGGTCACAGTCAAAAAAATGACCCACCGCATATCCTACTAATCGAGACGGAGGCTGGGACTAACAATATCTGTTCATGCAAAGCTGGGTCTCTATTCACTTCTATAATCGTTATTACAAAGCAAACGGACTACGCGAGTATAACGTTGTATTTATTAGCAGCGTGTGCTAGACGACACTTGTCAGGATTTGACTTCGGTTTGGGAAGGGAAAAAACGCACACCCCCCTCCAACCTCTCTGGGAAACGCGTATCTGTGTTACAAATGCCCCAGGCACAACGTTTAACCATATTTTTGATAAAACTACGACGCTAATAGCCTGCCGAGACCAAAAATATGAGACGCCTGTGTTAAAGTCAATGGAGCGCTGTGAAAAAGTGTCGGACCACTGTGGGAGCTCGTTCTTGGCTGCGCTGTGATTGGTCAATCTACATTCTAGGGTGTGGCTTAGCCAAAGGCGAATTGTCCTTTAAAGGGTAAATGAGTATAATTTCTGAGTGAGGTTTGTTGATGATTGAGAGTTTTGTGTGCTGCAGATATGGTGGTGTCCGGTGTGCCGAGCGAGAACGGGATCCTGCACGCGTCTGAGATCGCCAGCATGGCTCTGGACCTGGTGTCCGTGTGCAAGACCTTCAGGATCCCTCACAGACCTCAAACACAACTCCAGATCCGCGCTGGAATACATTCAGGTCCACAGTAAACCTGCAACCTATAGGGGCTTTTCATAGTTCCTAGAACTATTGGCGGAAGTTCCCGGATTTTGGCGTGTTCGCACCGCAGGAACTGGGAACGATTTTAGCTCTAGGAACTCCTTTTGGAGGAACTGATTTACTCCTTCTTTAGAGTCGGGTCTAGACCAGTACTATAGGAACGACAGTGGCGTTAGTCTTCGCTGATTGGCTGAATGCACGTGAAACACCAGCAACCGCCATTTTTAAAAAAGCTGTGTAAACCATAGACTGTAAAAAAAGATGGACGACGCCCCTTCGCTATCTTCCATTGGTCAGAAGTGAAGCCGCCAGTGTCCCGATATGGCGCTGACATCGTGGATCTTGAGTCTGCGCAGAAGCGATCTCGGGACCAGACCTGCGCAGTCGTGAGCCGGAAGTAAAGCCGTGAAATCAAGGCCCCGCCCGCACTCTCGCAGAATCAATCGCATATTAATAGATATTAATAGATATCAATAGATATTACATTTAAAGCTCCAATCTCATCAGTCCTCCGACGATCCCGAAAAAAAGTCTGTTGGTGCTTCAGTGACAGAGAACCTGTCAATCACAGCTGTCAATCATGACGTCACACCACCGCATCAAATAACTAACTAAAAACAAACACTTGAAATTACATCAGCGTGATTAAAAACTACAGTAAATGACAGAAACCATATTTGGAAAAACGATATTTGAAGTGTAATTTAATTGTTTAGTTGGTCTCACGTGCCGTTGAATAACACAGGGAGGCGGGGTTTATGACCTATACTGGGACCGGCCACCAGGGGGCGATCGAGACGCTTTGGCTTCACTTTGCACAGATCATAGCCTATATATTTACTCCAAAAACTAACTCAACGAACATGTAAAACACGAGACCGAGAGAAACATGATTATGTATTTCTGCTCAGCAACACTGGACATCAACCACACGGCGTACGCTAATAACTCTTCTTCATTACTGTCTACTTATTATGTAACAGTTCTATCTAATACCGTATTCGACAGGACTGTTAGACAGATCGTACACTAGTGAACACGGAGAATACGAGCACTGTCGTTCTCAGCGCCATCAAAATAAAAGTCACAACAACAAGCGCGTCTCACGTCACTTCAGAGTTCAGGCGGTGCGAACGACACCAGGAACACGTTCCTATGGGAATCATTAGTCCTCTGGGAACACCCTGGTGGCTCTTTCCTATAATATATTATTTTAATAAAGTAAATGTTGAAATTATTAACATGAACAAAGAATAATAAATGCTGTATAAGTGCAGTTCATGTAGTTAACTAATGAACCTTATTGTAAAGTGTTACCGATTTATGCATTTGAATTGCATATTTCCATTCATTTGTTTTACACAGTTGTAGCACAAACTAATAAACTTAATGTGTTGCATATTTGTCAGTCATACATAAATGAAACCGGTCAGACGCCTGTAATCATAAACAATAACCAGCTTTATATACTGATCATCAGTAAATCTAATGTGTTTTAATCTAAAATTTTAAGAACGTTGCTTGTTCTAAAGCTAGTCACATTTTACCACGTTCATAATTTTAACTGAATTATTTAAATAAAATTTAAATATTAATATGATTATTTAAATAAAATCTAATAGATGCATATATATATAATATACTATTTTCAGTTATGTATGACGGACAAATATGCTTTGCATTAAGTGTATTAGGTTATATTAAAAATGGATGGATATTTTATATGCAATATAATAAATCTTAAATTTAAGCCCAACTATTTTGAGCGCATGAATACTCCACGCCACAAGCCTTTAAATCTAAACATATAGGCCTACGTTTTATAACTGCAATTCATGAAAATACAAAAATAAAAAGTAATTCAAATTATTTTTTAAGAACTATAATACAGTAGTCAACATTTGAAGTGGTTCATCAAAGCTGTCCTGAGACGAGAACGGGTATTTGTTCAAAACTTCATGTATAACTTTGATGAAAGGTTTTGATCCACGTCACATGTTCACTCGTATCTGAATGATGGCAAATATAACTCACTGATCAGTTGTTGGTTGTGAGATGAGTGTGGCTTTATCTGGATGTTTCTGACGGCGTCTTCAGGTCCAGTTGTAGCAGGAGTTGTGGGAACGAAGATGCCGAGGTATTGTCTGTTTGGAGACACGGTGAACACAGCGTCCCGCATGGAGTCAACCAGCGAAGGTGAGAAAAGCATCAGGTAAAGGGTTTCAGCGGCAGTCAGTTCTCAACACAAATGTAAAAAATATATATATATAAATTTTTGCAGGCCAGACAGGTAATTTGGCGATGTCACTTTGTAAAGAAAGACCATGTGCCTGCACACATATATATTCAAATGCGCATACCTGTAGACTGAACACGCCGTCAGCGCTTTCACAGATTCACGTTTTTTAAGTTTACACGGAGATGATAACGTTTTTAAAAAAATTCAAAACTTGCACCTTGGAACCTGTTTCAAAAGAGCTGCTGTAAAGCACTGTATAAATGAAGGTGAGTTATGAAAAATGCTACAAAAGTGTGCGTGGTTCAGCTGCGGAGAGGAGAGACGGCAGATTAACATCAAATCTTCCCACAGATATTTACCATTACAGTAACAAAACGAGCATATATTAAACATGCTTTTATAAGCTCACCATAAATTACATAAATACATAAATATCCTGGCGCATTTTCGACCGTTGTTGCCATTGGCTTTTTGGCTTGCTTAGTTGGGGACATTTTATTTAATATTCAATAATATTGCTCTCCTACATTGACACCATTATATGAGAACTGAACTGAACTGGACGATGACATCACGGTTTTCTCCAGAGCGGCTATATATACACTCACCTAAAGGATTATTAGGAACACCATACTAATACTGTGTTTGACCCCCTTTCGCCTTCAGAACTGCCTTAATTCTACGTGGCATTGATTCAACAAGGTGCTGAAAGCATTCTTTAGAAATGTTGGCCCATATTGATAGGATAGCATCTTGCAGTTGATGGAGATTTGTCGGCTGCACATCCAGGGCACGAAGCTCCCGTTCCACCACATCCCAAAGATGCTCTATTGGGTTGAGATCTGGTGACTGTGGGGGCCATTTTAGTACAGTGAACTCATTGTCATGTTCAAGAAACCAATTTGAAATGATTAGAGCTTTGTGACATGGTGGAAGTAGCCATCAGAGGATGGGTACATGGTGGCCATAAAGGGATGGACATGGTCAGAAACAATGCTCAGGTAGGCCGTGGCATTTAAGCGATGCCCAATTGGCACTAAGGGGTCTAAAGTGTGCCAGGAAAACATCCCCCACACCATTACACCACCACCACTAGCCTGCACAGTGGTAACAAGGCATGATGGATCCATGTTCTCATTCTGTTTACGCCAAATTCTGACTCTACCATCTGAATGTCTCAACAGAAATCGAGACTCATCAGACCAGGCAACATTTTTCCAGTCTTCAACTGTCCAATTTTGGTGAGCTCTTGCTAATTGTAGCCTCTTTTTCCTATTTGTAGTGGAGATGAGTGGTACCCGGTGGGGTCTTCTGCTGTTGTAGCCCATCCGCCTCAAGGTTGTGCGTGTTGTGGCTTCACAAATGCTTTGCTGCATACCTCGGTTGTAACGAGTGGTTATTTCAGTCAAAGTTGCTCTTCTATCAGCTTGAATCAGTCGGCCCATTCTCCTCTGACCTCTAGCATCAACAAGGCATTTTCGCCCACAGGACTGCCGCATGAAATGGTTGTGTGTGAAAATCCCAGTAACTGAGCAGATTGTGAAATACTCAGACCGGCCCGTCTGGCACCAACAACCATGCCACGCTCAAAATTGCTTAAATCACCTTTCTTTCCCATTCTGACATTCAGTTTGGAGTTCAGGAGATTGTCTTGACCAGGACCACACCCCTAAATGCATTGAAGCAACTGCCATGTGATTGGTTGATTAGATAATTGCATTAATGAGAAATTGAACGGGTGTTCCTAATAATCCTTTAGGTGAGTGTATATAATTTAACTAATTTAATAACTTTTTTACAACATTAATGAACCATCACTGAACTTACTTAAGCTGGACTGTGACGCTATTTTCTGGAAACACACTTTGTTGCATTATTTTCCTGTTATCTCTGTAAAGCTGCTTTGAAACACTCTGTGTTGTTAAATGCACTGTATAAATAAAGGTGACTCGACAGCTATAATTTAATGCAGACATTCACATTTGTACTCCTCATCGAAAATATCCATAAATGCGCTGTTGCATCTCTAATATTGTGTTTGTCTGTAGCGCTGAAGACCCAGTGCAGCTCCAGTGTGTTTTTCCTGCTGGAGGAGATCGGCGGATACACACTCTCCTGCAGAGGTGTGTTACAGGTAAAGGTGAGACACACTTCTGTTCTGAAGCTCATAATGCCACACTCACTACACGTGCATTCTTCTACACAATTTATTTAGCTTTTCTATTTAATGTAATAATTACGCTTTTGTTTTTGTTGGGGAAAATGCTGGTAACTAGGGGTGGTTAATCTGTCTGATTTCCCGATTCGATTCGATTACGATTATTGAAGTCCCGATTCGATTACAGTCGATTTTCGATTATTAACGATTCTCGATTAGCGATTATTGATTTTCCATTTCACAACAGTAAACGAAAATACACTACAAAGTGTTTGCAGTATTAAAAAAAGTCAGCTGCTGATTTACTTAACTCTTTTATTGAGTAACAACAACTCAAAGCACTTTCTGTGTCGTGTAGTTATAACTTTAGATTTATTTGTATGTAGCTTATGTTCTGTAGAACACAGAAATGAATACATCACATTGTGTTGTGACTCATCAAGTTGAACTAAACAATAACAAATAAATGAAAGGCTTATTTCCTTTAGGAAGTGGATCAGAACCAACATACTGTAGAAATTGGACAATTTTCTTCTAGAAAGACAAGGTGTTGTAGCAAGCAACGCTCGTTAGGCCGGAGACACACTGGCTGCGTGGCGTGAGCGTGGCGTTTCTGTTGCGTGTCAGCTGCGTCGCGTTTTCTGTGTCTTTGCACACCAGAAACGTGTCTGACGTGGCGCCGCTGCTGCTAGGTGACATAGAGGGACAGTCTACATTTGGGTTAGCGGTGTGTTAATCCTTACTACAACAATTTCAACTCTTGCCTCTTGCCTTTACGACAACAATTTCAACTGTTATCACACATCTTCCAAAATCCGAAAAATAGGGAAGTGGGCTGTCTGTTTATTTCAATAACATTTACAAATTTTGTGTAGCTTTAATGAGCCTTTATTTAGCCTGATGGTGGACCGTCACTCAGAAGACACACTATGTTGTTATTGTAGCCTATTATCTTTATATCATCCTGAGGCCCAGAACGTTTTTTTCAAAAGTTTTTTTTCTTCTTCATGTAATCACATTGTTAAGAGCATAGGAAACAAATGAAAAAAAAAGAGATATTTTATTCATATGTTATGCTATGACCTCTGTAGTGAACACCAGGACTCGATTGTTTAAAAAATAAAAATGACATAAATTTGTATATAGGCAAAAATAATGGCAATATTTGAAAATCGATAATTATTATTATTATTATTTGTTTAAATTACATTGATATCTGAATTTATATCAAAACCTAGACTTTCAAACATCAAAATGTAATTTATTAATATGTATTCGTGTACAAAATGACATATAAACATCGTTTCCTATTCTATTTTGCCTGGAAACGCTTCCAACACGCTTGCGTGTCGCGTGAAAAATAGGCGTCGGTTCTATTTCTAGCATGCACGCGTTTTCCGCGCGGCTCATGCAGGCAGTGTGCAAGCTCTAACCTGTTAACATGGGAGCCGAAATAAAAACGGACACACCACGCAGCTGAGACGCCGCCACGCAGCCAGTGTGTCTCCGGCACACCTGCTCTCACTCGCTCTGGCTGCCGTTACACGCGCTTGCTAACTGGAACTGGGTGCGTTCGTGACGTTCAACTTCCGGTATAACATTTTTTACAAAATAAAATAATGCAATTTTTTTTTTATATATATATAATAAAAAATCGATTTTTGAAAATGTAATAATCGATTCATACTCGTCCATAACATACTCGTGATTAATCAATAATCGATTTTTTTCACCACCCCTACTGGTAACACTTTATTTTACAGTGTCCTTGTTACATATGTTACATTACCATAGTAATAACAGTAAATTATGCATAATTACATGTAACTAACCCTCAACCAAACCCTAACCCTATAGTAAATACATGTAGTCAATTAATATTACTCAGTACTTAAATATATTACACTGTAACAGTGACACCTTAAAATAAAGTGTAACCAAAATGCTTTAATTGAATATTTTATTTATTATGCTAAAGTAAATAAAATCAAAACGAATTTGGTGATGCATTGCATTAGTAAACAATCATCACTGATTTTTTTCTTGCGTATGAAAACCGTCAGTAATTATGCTTGCCACTGCACCAAATTGTTATAAATCAAACAAAAACTCACAAGCTTCATAATTCTCAATATCAACACATAATGAATTATTACATCTAATTAATTAATTAAATTAATAACGAATAGCTAATAATAATATTGCCCAGCTCTGTTTAAAGTTGGATATATATATAGTACATCCAATTTTAGCGATGTAAAGCAATATATGCTATACAGCAAATCTCTGCTTAATTGTTTATAATATTTTAAAATTTAACTATATTATCGGTTAGTTATCTGCTAAATGCAACCTAATGCGTGAATGTATTAAGATATTATAAAGATTAGCATCATGATATTCTGTGAAGCTGCTTTAAATAGTTGTATTTGAAACATGTTACAATGTTTCAAATACAATGTTTACATAGTTACAGTATTTCAAATAGGGCTGGGCAAAAAAATTGATTTTTCGATTAATCGTTTTTTTAAATGTGGTCGATTCAAAATTGATTCTCAACGGCCACGAATCGATTTTTTCCATATTCAGGGCTCGCGGTGCTGCGTCTTCTCACTCTGCACAAGGCAAGCGTCAAGCGCTGCAGGCGTCGATACACACTCGTGTTTAGGAGTCGGGACATGATTCACTTGCACAATCGGGCCAGCATTGCATCGTAACTAACGTTTATCATTTTCACGTCTTTTTTCAAGCAATTTTAAACTATCCTGTGCTCGCGCACTCGTGCATGTTTTTCATTGCGTGCAGCCTAAATCCGCCTCACAACAAACAGCTCGCCAGTAACAAAAGTTCTTTTTCGTGGATTATATCGCTTTAACAGTTAAAAACACGCAAAATGATGTCAAAACTCTGGTCTTGGTGAGTAACCTCGTAAAGACAGTCGGTTATGTCTTAAATAAGCATAAAACGCGTGTGATAGACAGTAACGTTATAATGAAACAGTAATGGATCCGGGCACTACTTCTTAAAGTGAACGCAGCCATATGTGTCTGTCATTAATTTTGTTGTCAAAACAAAATAATATAGCATTAATTGTAAGGAATCAGAATTAATAGCCTATGTATTTAATTCAGTCAGGACTAAAAGACTATCCAGTGTTATTTTACATTGGATTACTTTATTCAGTTTCTGTAGTATTTCTGACCTACCCAAAAACTTTTCTTTTTATGTCTCTTTATTTGTCTTTTTAGGCCTATTCTATTGTATTTATTTGTGCTACTTTTTTCAATTTAATTCAAAGATTGAAATCAAGCTTCCATGTGTTGCATAAACTCTTAACAAAAAAATTACCCCATTGTAAAAACAAACATTTAGGTGAGATCAATGTAATAAAAAATTGTCTAAAAAATGATAACTGATATTTAGACTGAGATTTGTATTACATCTATATTCATTATAGTCGAATCGAGAATCGAATCAGGAATCGAATCGAACTGTGAGCTTGTGAATCGAAATTTACATTTACATTACATTTATTCATTTAGCAGACGCTTTTATCCAAAGCGACTTACAAATGAGAACAATAGAAGCAGTTAAACTAACAGTAGGACAACAATACGTAAGTGCTATAACCCCTCTCAGTTTAATTTTAGTGAAGTTTTTTTTTTTTTTTTTATAGAATAGAAGAGAAGAGAAAGTGTTAATTCTACTGAATCAAGTGCTGCTGAAAAAGATATGTCTTCAGCAGTTTCTTGAAAGTGGCTACTGACTCAGAAGCTCTGGTTGAGTTAGGCAGATCATTCCACCAACAGGGAACAGCCATGGTAAAGGTCCGAGAAAGAGATTTTGTGCCTCTTTGAGATGGTACCACAAGACGACATTCGCTAGCAGAGCGCAGGTTTCTGGATGGCACATAAGTCTGAAGTAATGAGTTTAGGTAAGAGGGAGCAGTGCCAGTGGTTGTTCTGTAGGCAAACGTCAGTGCCTTGAATTTAATGCGAGCGGCAACAGGCAACCAGTGCAATTGTGTGAGGAGAGGAGTGACGTGTGCTCTCTTCGGCTCATTGAAGACTACTCTGGCTGCAGCATTCTGGATCAATTGTAGAGGTTTGACAGAGCAAGCTGGAAGACCAGCCAGGAGAGCATTACAATAGTCCAGTCTGGATAAAACAAGTGCTTGGACAAGGAGTTGTGTGGCATGCTCTGTAAGGAAGGGCCTGATCCTCCTAATGTTGTGCAAAGCAAATCTGCAGGACCGGGCAGTTCTAGCAATCTGGTCTGTGAATTTCAACTGATCATCAATTACAACCCCAAGGTTCTTAGCTGACCTTGATGGAGTTATGGATGACGAGCCTAGCTGAATGGAGAAGTTGTGATGAAGTGTTGGGTTGGCCGGGACCACAAGTAGCTCTGTCTTCGCAAGGTTTAGTTGAAGGTGGTGGTCCTTCATCCAGCCAGAGATGTCTGTCAGGCAGGCTGAGATACGAGCAGCTACCGTCGGATCGTTAGGCTGGAATGAGAGGTAGAGTTGCGTGTCATCAGCGTAGCAATGATAGGAAAAGCCATGTTTCTGAATCACAGATCCTAGTGATGTCATGTAGATGGAGAAGAGGAGTGGTCCAAGCACTGAGCCCTGAGGCACCCCAGTAGCTAGATGTTGGGTCTTAGACGCCACACCTCTCCACGACACCCTAAAGGACCTACCTGAGAGGTAAGACTCGAACCATTGGAGTGCAGTTCCCGAGATGCCCTTCATCTTTAGGATTGACAGGAGGATCTGGTGGTTAACTGTGTCAAAAGCAGCAGACAGATCCAGCAGGATGAGGACTGAGGATTTGGAAGCTGCTCTTGCCAGTCTCAGAGCTTCAATTACTGAGAGCAGGGCAGTCTCAGTTGAGTGTCCGCTTTTGAAACCAGACTGATTGTCGTCCAAGAGGTTGTTCTGTGTAAGAAAGGAGGAGATCTGGTTGAAAACAACTCGTTCAAGTGTTTTCGCGACAAATGGAAGAAGAGATACCGGTCTGTAACTTGTTAGATGTGCTGGATTTAGATTGGGTTTCTTAAGCAGTGGGGTTACTCGAGCCTGCTTAAAAGCTGTGGGAAAGGTACCAGTGTGAAGAGAGGTGTTTATGATGTGCGTGAGTGTGGGTACAACTGAGGAAGAAATGGCTTGAAGTAGATTAGTGGGGATAGGATCAAGCGGACAGGTAGTAGGGCGATTGGAAAGGAGGAGTTTAGAGACTTCCGCCTCTGAAAGTAGAGAGAAGGAGGGTAGAATGTGTGCGTTTGTTGGTAAAATGTGTGTGTCAGTTTGTGGATTGGTAAATTGGCCGCTGATGGTGGTTGTTTTTTCTATGAAGAATGTGGCAAAATCGTCAGCTGTTAGGGTTGATGAAGGAGGAGGAGGAGGAGGGTTAAGAAGAGAGGAGAAGGTTTTGAAAAGCATGCGAGAGTCAGAAGAATTGATAATTTTGTTGTGATAGTAAGCCATTTTAGCAGTAGAGATATTAGCAGAGAAGGAAGAGAGAAGGGATTGAAAAAGACCCAGGTCTGTCGAATCTTTCGATTTGCGCCACTTCCTCTCTGCACCCCTGAGTTTAGTACGATGTTCGCGAAGAATATCAGTTAACCAGGGGGCAGAGGGTGTGGCGCGGGCTGGCCTGGAGGAAAGGGGACAGAAGTTGTCCAAGCAGGATGTTAAAGTGGAGAAAAGAGTATCAGTTGCACAGTTAGTATCAAGTGTTGAGAGCTGATCAGGTGGAGGAAGTGTGGATGAGACCAAAGAGGATAGGTGAGAGGGTGAAAGTGAGCGTAGGTTTCGTCGAAAGGTGACCTGTGGAGGAGTGTGTGTTGTGTTCTGAGGCAGGTTGAGGTTGAGAGTGAGGAGGAAGTGATCTGAGGTGTGCAGTGGAGTGACCAGTGTATTGTCCGTAGAGCAGTAGCGCGTGTATCAGATCAGAAATCGAATCGAATTTGAACATCTGAATCGATACCCAGCCCTAATTTCAAATGTTTACAATGTTTGAATACAATGTTTTCAATGTTAACGTTTCAATGTTAACAATGTTTCAAATACATCGTAAACATTCTATTTAAAACATTGTAACATTGTGTTTGAAACATTGTGAGCCTTGTAACATTGTAACTGTAAACACTGTATTTGAAACATTGTAACATTGAATTTAAAACATGTTGCCATGTTCACAATGTTTCAAATATGTTTACAATGTTTCAAGTACACTGTAAAAATGGTAACATTGTAATTGAAACATTGTATATGAAACCATGTTTACAATGTTTACAATACAATGTTTCAAATATATTGTAAAAAATCGTAACACTGTAAACATTGTGTATTGAGAAAAGCGCTATACAAATAAACTTGGCTTGTGTTTTCTCAGGGTAAAGGTGACATGGTGACGTATTGGCTGGAAGGGAAACAGTCTTCAGCTCCCGGTAAAGATGCCATGAAAGCCTTGCCACCGCAGGAGCTTGAGCGACCCGTGAGCGTCCCAGAACTACAGAAAGAGGATTACTCCAGTATCCCAGGAGTCCTCAGCAGCTCTGACAGCACTGGCCTCCTGTGTGACGCAGAGTGAGCCTCACATACATCAACACTTCTTTTAGTTCAGCCATTTTCACACTTCTGTACTTTAGCAGCAGAAAAGGTTCTAAATAGAATCATAAAGGGTTCTATCAGGCGCTTATATATAGAACCTTTTATTTAGTTTTAATTCATTCATTTTGATTTATGTTTCATTTTAATACATTTTTTTATGAATTTAGCAGCTCGTAAACATTTTATCACTAGAAAACAACTGAAATAACATGAAAGTAAAAATATACATGAAAGTATTATGCCATTTCTCCTAATATAGAATTATTTTGGCAAAAAGAGTTTTTTAAAACTGAGTCAAGAATCCTAGAGTTCTATATAGAACCTTTGTATTTAAGAGTATATATAGAGTTAGAGGTTTGTGTCCTGTTTTATCATTAATGACTACAGTAAAATACTTCTATATATATAAATGAAATGTAGTTTAGCCGATGTTTATTATTGATTAGAAAAACGGACTTTAATAACTTGGCATTTGTCTTCTGTATTTTCTCCTCGTTTGATCAGTCAGTGTTTGTAGCATCAGAACAATTGTGAAATATCCAATAATCGTAGTGAAGTACTTGTATATTTATTAATAATAATAATAAAAAACAAATGCCAATAATGATGGTGATATCTCAGTGATGGGTGATATTTATTTTCATGTTATTTTATATTATGAAACTCAGTTTGAGGTTAGTAAGATTTTGTGTTTTTAAAGAAATTAATACTTTTATTCAGAGTAAAGGATCCATCAAAAGTGACAGTAAAGACATTTATAATCTTACAAAAGATTTCTATTTCAAATAAATGCTGTTATTTTGAACTTTCCATTCATCAAAGAATCCTGAAAAATAAAATGTACTATGGTTTCCACAAAAAATAATTGATAATAAACAAAAATGTTTATTCTTGAGCATCAAATCATCATATTAGAGTGATTTCTGAAGGATCATGTGATACTGAAGACTGGAGTAATGATGCTGAAAATTCAGCTTTGATCACAGGAATAAATTACACTTTACTATATATTCACATAGAAAACAGCTGATTTATATTGTAATATTATTACGCAATTTTTACAGTATTTTTGATCAAATACATACAGTCTTGGTGAGCAGAAGAGACTCTTTCAAATATATTAAAATCTTACTGACCTCAAACTTTTGAATGGTACTAAAACCATCCCAGTGTTGTTACGATCCCTGGTCTAGGTCAGGGTGTAACATAAACAACAAAACCAATTCCTTTAGTTAGCTTGAGTTTATTGCTATTTTCTTGCCCTCTGAGTTGTTTTCAGGGCCGCATGGTGTTGACATTCATAAAACAATATCTTGAAAATACAGAATCAAAGAATCAAACAAACAGGGGAAAAGTAGAAGCAAGATCTTCAGGGGTGAGCTAATGCCAAAACAATAAACCAAACAGAACTAACTTTCCCACGAAAACTACCTTTCCTGTGAATCAAATAAAAGAAACAAAACATACAATGAAATACCCTATCTCCTTAACTAGCACAATAACCAGGAGAAAAATAACGGCCTTTCGGCCTAGAAAGAAAACAAGGCACTCACCCCCTACGGCTTCTCAAATTAATCATAAACATACAGACACGATCACGGGCACTGGTGTGCTGGGTACAAATCACACAGTATCAAAGTAGTTACACAATACTCTGCTAACACAAGCTAAGAGCACATAAATCACACGATTGGGCTTCATTTTCACCGGCTGACAAACACACAGTACAACACCGGGGCAATCAAAGAGGCAGAGAGCACCCTCTACAGGAATTCCGGGGAATTTATAGTCCAGGCCTCTTCTCTGATCCAACCACCCATAGCGTTGCATTAGATCCAGGACCAATCCTAAAGGAGAAGGAGACAGCAGCAACAACAGCAGAAACAACATAGCTGCATTACGTCACACCGTAACACCCCCACCCTTAAAATTACAAATTATTATTTGTAACCACCAAAACAATTCTTAATCCCCAAATTAACATGGCGCACGTGACAAGGCATCAGCAAGTATATTTTCACACCCCTTCTTGTGCCGAATTTCCAAGTTAAAACCTTGTATCAACAAAGACCAGCGCATCAGTCTTTGATTCGAATTTGACATTCGAAAAAGAAAAACCAGGGGATTGTGGTCAGTATACACCAGGATAGGGACATTACAAGCATCAAGATAAATTTCGAAATGCTGAAGTGCAAGCAACAGCGCAAGAGCCTCTTTCTCGATTGTGCTGTAATGTTGCTGCGATTTCGTAAATTTCCTTGAAAAATAACATACCGGGTGATCAATTCCCACAGCATCCTCCTGAATAAGGACTGCCCCTGCTCCCACCTCACTCGCATCGACTTCCAATTTAAATGGTTGTGAAAAATTTGGAGCTGATAGAACTGGGGCACTACACAGCAACGTTTTAACCGCATCAAAAGCTGACTGACACTCTGAAGTCCACTCAAACACTCTAGATTGACTCAGTAAGTTGGTAAGGGGTGATGCAACTTCAGCAAAGTTCTTGCAAAAAGCACGGTAATACCCGGTCATTCCCAAGAAGCGGCGCAACTCTCGTTTCGTTTTAGGAGCGGGAAAATCAATAATACACTCAACTTTTGTATTAACAGGACGCACTTGCCCTTGACCCACACATTTCCCAAGGTATGTCACAACAGCTTTACCAAACTCACATTTAGCAAGATTTAAAGTAAGCGATGCATCACTTAGTCGATGAAAAACTGAATACAGATTTGTTAGATGCTGCTCCCAGTCAGATGAACAAACGACAATGTCATCCAGGTATGCCTCACAGTTTCCTAACCCAGCCAGCACTATCCTCATCAGGCGTTGGAAAGTGGCAGGTGCATTTCGCATCCCGAAAGCCATCCTCTTGTATTCTAGGAAGTGATCAGGTGTAACAAAGGCAGAGATTTCTGAAGCCCTGGCGGTCAAAGGTACCTGCCAGTAACCTTTTAACAGGTCGAGCTTAGTCACAAACTTTGCAGCGCCAACCCTATCAATGCAATCATCCATCCTTGGTAAAGGATAGGAATCGGGTTTCGTTATGGAATTTACCTTGCGGTAATCGGTGCAGAATCGAAATTTGCCATCTGATTTAGGCACCAACAGACAGGGTGAGCTCCATGAACTGGAACTTGGCACAGCAAAACCATGTTCTAACAAATATGCAGTCTCTTCTTGCATTATTTCTCTCTTGATGGGGTTTACACGATAGAAATTCTGCTTAATAGGAGAGCAATCACCCACATCAATATCATGCTCCAACACTGTAGTTTGACTTGGCACATCAGAAAAAAGAGCAGGGAACTTTTTAATGAGCGCAATAACATCACTTTGACAAGCTTCACTCAAGTAACACAGATGAGACTTTAAATCCACTAAAAGCTTGGAATTGTCCAACCGAGCACACGATACATCTCGCATTCGCAGCCCATCATCCTCAGGACAGTATACGGCTGCCATAGCAGGAGAGATGGAATCAGTGTTTTTTTGCATATTCTGAACATCATCCTTTTGAACTACATCCCTCATTACATAGGCTTTTAGCATATTAATGTGACACACTCGGGTCTTTCGTTTTCTGTCAGGCGTATTAATGACATAATCAGTGTCACTTAATTTCTGCTTGATGGTGTAGGGACCTGAGAACTTTGCCTGCAATGGCGACCCTGGAAGAGGAAGAAAGACAAGCACCAAATCATCTTCCTGAAAACTTCGAAAGACACTCTTTTTATCGAAGCGGGTCTTCATTTTAACCTGAGTGCGGCCCAACTCCGAAAGTGCCACTTCACGAGCTCGGTGTAGGCGTTCTCTGAACGAATTCACATACTCAAGTACACTAGTTTGGGGGGGTTGTCTCTGCCAGCAACTGTTCACGAAACAGTTTTAACGGGCCCCGCACAGTGTGCCCAAACACTAATTCGGCAGGACTAAAACCCAAGGATTCCTGAACGGTCTCTCGTACCGCAAACATGACCAAGGGAACACCCTCATCCCAATCTTTCCCAGTTTCAAAACAGTACGTACGCAACATACTTTTCAGGGTCTGATGAAAGCGTTCCAGTGCTCCCTGTGACTCTGGATGGTAAGCACTAGAAAGTTTATGCTTTACTGACAAACAGTCCAGAACCTGAGAAAACAGCTTGGAGGTGAAATTTGTACCTTGATCCGACTGTATCACTCTAGGAATACCAAATGTAGAGAAAAATTTGACTAGCTCTTTAGTCACATTCTTAGCCCTAATGGTACGCATAGGAATCGCCTCGGGATACCGAGTAGCAGCACACATTAGAGTCAGCAAATACTGATGTCCAGACTTAGTCTTGGGTAATGGGCCGACGCAATCAATAATAATTCTCTCAAATGGCTCCGACACAATTGGAATGGAGAGGTTAAACCTTAATGTTACCAACATTAATTCATGCCATTGACATAAATACACACTTACATGCCGCTTTAAAAAGAATTATAATCTGGATCCTTCAATTCATGGCTAACTTTAGACCTATCTCTAAACTTCCCTTTTTATCAGAAATCTTGGAAAGAGTGGTTTTGAATCAACTTCAATCATTTTTAGATGATTGTAGTATTAATGAAATATTCCAGTCTGGGTTTAAGCCCCGTCACAGTACCGAAACTCTGTTAAGAGTTTGTAACGATCTTCTTCTAGCTGTTGACTCGGGTAACTCTACTGTATTAGTGCTTTTGGATTTGACACGCTCAACCACTCGATTCTTTTATCCCGACTTGAACAGTGTGTTGGCATAGAGGGCACAGCCCATAAATGGTTCCAATCCTACTTGACAGACAGGAGTTTTTCTGTTCACCTCTGTGAATTTTATTCATCTGCTGCTCCTCTTACTTGTGGCGTCCCCCAAGGGTCCATTTTGGGACCCATGCTGTTTTCGTTGTACATGCTGCCCTTGGGGTCCATTTAAAAACTAAAAACTAAATCCCCTTCCATTGTTATGCGTATGATGTACAAATCTATTTGCCCGTCCT